TCCGAAAAGCACAGGTACTGGTGAAAGAGCCAAAGACACTAAAGCGCCTGACGGTCTGATGACGATCTGATAAAGTTTTGCCGGAAATTCGATCATATCTCTACCGATCAATTCCTTTACCGGGGAATTCGTTATCGGCCGTTCTCGTCATCAGGCTGTCGACCCCTTTGCAGCCCCCGTCCATTTTGGACGGGGGTTCAACGAACAGGGGGGTTCAGCGAACAATACACCAAAACGGTCTTGGCGAATGGTGGTTTTGTTTGGTCTGTTCGTTGTGCCTCTCTGTTCGTTGACCCCCCCGACTATGTTATCTCTCATTGGGACTGGAACACCAATTCCAGCTGTGTGTCTCCCGGAGGCGGGAGTAGACCGTGTGAGCCCTCAGGGAGGCGGCACCCTCAGCGAGGCTTGGCGATATTAGACAGCAAAAACTGCTTGTGGTCTTTCGTGCACACCACAAATACCCTAGCTTCAAACTTAAGGCTTACTAAAAAGGGTGCGCCTCGGCCTGAAAAACGGAAAGAACGAAGAGATACTAGCGTTAGGCGGTGCTCGGCAGTTAATACGGTGTCATAATCTACAGGTAGTCCCAAATTACCTCCTGTGCAAAGGTCGGCAAAAAAACAACAAAAACATCAGCCCCTTCACCTTCCGCAACCTCAAAAAAAAGTACACACGATTCTTGACCTCCAGCAGAACGTGCAATTGTTTAAGTTTAAACGGTAACCCACCAGCATTCCTACGATACCGGTACTACACAACCTTTACAACTTCTGTAATCGGCCCCAATCCCCTTACACTTGGGAGATGATGTGCAATAAACGCGTACAGGTGTATGCTAAGTGATATGGAAGATGCGAACAAGGTTTCGTGGTGTAGTTGGTTCTACTCCACATTGTGGGGAAAAAAAGCAAAAGACTCCCCCCCACTGAACCCAACTCGGTACTCGTCGTGTCGTGACGTTTGTAAAATGGACCGGGCTTGCATGGTGGCGCACAGGGGTACATATTAGGCTATAGTGAATCTAAATAGGTGTAGTAGAATGATTTAGCGTAAACTGCAGTATTATTAAGATAAAAAGTAGAATAGGGGAATTCAGAGAGCATGCATCGCGTCCAGCATGTTAGGTAAATATCAACAACACGGAAATTCACCAAAATGTCAACACCACGAGGCCGAACAACTTCGATGGCCAAGCGGGGCCAGATCGTTGCGTACTCTATGCTCGAGGGAGCACAAAAGATGAGTTTAGCAGACATTTCAGCAAAAACTGGGGTGCAAATTAAGTACCTGCTCAAATATTATCAGAACAGCATGCCAGCGAGCCACCAAAAACGAAAACCCTGACCTCTGCGCTGACGAGAATCTTACCCCACTACCGAACTCAGTAAAAGGTTCCAATGAGGCCTTATCACAGGCACAGAAAGAACATTTAGTGGAAGTTACTCTGCAAGATGCAGACCATTGCCGTATGACCTTTACACAGTTAGCGGAAGCAGGTACTAGAAAGTTTTTTTTTTTTTTTTTTCAATTTACAGTCTGAGTTGGAACATGTAACTAATAATTAATATTTTTAAACAAAAAAGCGGAACTGAATGTGAGTAGACAAACAGTTTCCAAAGTACTGCGTGAAAATAAAATATATCGCCGAAAGCCAGTTCGAAAACCGACACTTAGCCCTGAACAAAAGGCAAGAAGACTTGCCTTTTGCTACCAGTATCAAAATTACGATTGGAGGAATATCATCTTCACAGATGAGTCCTATTTTGAGACTGGAAACCTCCGGTCCCGTCGAGCCCGTGGGGTACTACGCCGAGCTGGTGAGGCCTACCGAACACAAAACATCGACAGAAAGTTTGCTCAGGGGGCAACGGTTATGTTTTGGGGTGCTATCATATATGGAAAGGCAGGTATGTACGAATATATTTTGATTATATACTTTTTGTTATTTAATTTATACCTTTTTATATTCAATGTTATTGCTTATAACTACTTTATAGTTTAATCTATTTTATTTCTAATATGTACATATCGTTTAATACTAAATTACTAAATATATATTAGGCTTTGAACTTCCATACCATATGTACAGTACTCCATATGAGACAGCCAATCAACGGAAGGAAGCTACTCTTGCTCTCCAAAGAGAGTATCAATTGGAGCTGGCAGCAAATACAAATGCCAGCTCCTCGGGATTGCCAATCCCATTTCCCGACCCAGTGTTGAAAACACGAAAAGTGGATAGAAAAGGGGGTATCGACTGGTATATTTACCGCGAGCGAATTCTTAACCCCCTTCTCTATCCATTTACCTCTCGGGCAGCAACTGAGTTTCCGGAGAGGAATATTGTGATAATGGAGGACAATGCTCCAGCACATGTTCACCATTATCACAATATTCCTCGTGAACGGCTTGGGTTTACCAAACTCATTTGGCCTGCTAACTCTCCAGATTTGAATCCGATAGAGACAATCTGGACGGAGTTAAAGGACATTTTACAGGATAAAATTGGTGCACGAATGACTGCTCGGCAGATTCGCCTTGTCCTTGAAGAGGTAAATTCAAATTCATATTTTTTATTTTTATCTTTTATCTAATACTATTCTAGGCTTGGAATGACTACCCACGAGAACGGATCAATTATCATATTGATTCCATGCCTCAACGGATAACAGCTTGTATTGAGGATGAAGGAGGAAACAATTTTAATTTTTAATACTTAATTTTTAATTTCTATAATAATTATAATGTATAATAAATTACCCCTGTTGCATTGCTACTTATGTTCAATTGATTCCTTTTCGGGCTCTTCTGTGGTTCTGTGCACGTCCCTCTGCACCCCCCTGCAAGCCCAGTCCATTTCACAAACGTCACGACACGACGAGTATATGTTCTGAAGGGCCGACCTTATCCCAATTTCAGCCACTGTGTTTATGCCACCTCCTAGCTCCAAACTGTCTGAATGGTGGCCCACCCCCCCGCCTGTACTGACGGAACTGCGGTCGAGACCGCCCTCTACAGTCGCACACCGTTGTCATGGACGACCAAAATTCTAAGAATCCGTCTGGGACAGCGAGTTATTCGGGACAGAAGGCTTGGTTTTGGCAAAAAGAAATTCATCCAGGACAGCGAAGAATCCGGGAGAGCGAGGTCTGGGACAACGGGGTGCGGCTGTAAAGCATTCCTCCGGCTTTCAAGCTAAAATTCCGTGAACCTCAGCATACAAACGATGGGATCTTCAACAAGGGGAAGGTGAAGCATATAAATTAGCTAGGTCAGCGTTCTATAAGTGAACCTATCCCTTTAATAGGTGATACACAAATTAAGCAGGGTGATCAATTGAAAAGAAGAGAAAGTGGAAGGAAAATCAATTAAATAGAATTGCTCATTCTATTGCTGCTTGATTGCCTAGCGTACCAAATAAATTCCCGTAGCACCGTATCCTATGCTCCAATGGATGCAGAAAAAAAGAAAAAAAAGCCTGTCAAGGCCATTGCCTATTAATCAACCCCGAGGCGATGGAAAGTGTCGCATCTATATCATACCAATCAGTCACCAATTTTTTCAAATGAATAAACTCCACTGCGGTTACCTATGTCAAAGCCTACTTCTTGGCGGCCTGGTAATAATCGAACCCACCTTTCAAGACAAACCCAACAAGACTAGTAATAATACCGTAGAATATACGGTCAATCTTACCATCGGTCCTGTCAAATTTTTTGTCCGTCTTGTTGCCAAGGTCTTTAATATCAGCTCTCATCTCGGTCTGTCCAGATTGAATGTGGTCGAGCTTCAGTTTGATGTTGGAAACATCCTAAGAAATCTTAGCACAATATCCCGTATCAGAACTCAAGTTTCCGAGCACACCCTATCGAGTTGGGCAAAGTCTTTCCAGGTGACCCCCAGAGGAGACCCCGAGCCCGTACACGCACCGCTGCTATCATGGTGGTGATCGTTATCATGATGACTGTCACTATCGGTGTTTCGTCTCTACGACACCCAGTTAGTATGCAGTTTGTATGCTAACGAAACCCCGATCTTACCGGAACGGTGCCAAAGCCCCTATGTGGATGGTAGGAGTGGAGGATAAACGCCTTGAACGCTTGTTTGTTGATAATGAGCCTAAACATGATTCTCCGCTACGCTTTCTGCTCAATTTGACGAACGTCAGTCTTCAATGCTCTAGCCAGTAAGAGAGATAAAGTGACATTAAACAAACTCACCTTGTCGTTGGGCAATATTTTTCCTGCCTGCTCTCGGCTCTGTGATGTTGCTGCTTCTCAGATAGGGGGTTGAAGAAGCTTTGCTACTTCATGACTGGGTGCGCGGAATACTCACCCGTGTATATTCTTGTTACGTGGTACGTCACCTTGGCAGGTATGTCGGGAGACGGGGTACGCACAGGGTGCACATCCGAGTAGCAGCGTGGCCGATAGATATAACAGTCTCGTGGGTCTGCTAAGAAAAATCTTATCGGAAGAGCTCGCTAAATTTTTCCTATGAGGCTCACGTGACTTTTATCCATCGGCCGCACTCGTATCATACTAAGAAATACCTATCAACCTCACTTGAGTACGGTACTCGAGTACAGCATACGATGGGAACTTGAGAAAGCCAGTCTCAATTACTCTCTAAGCATTTACTCCTTTAAAACCAAAATATAGATTTGGGTAAGAGTGCGGTATTCAAAATTAAAAGCGGTGAAAGGTTTTAGCTTGCTACTGGGATTCATTTCAGCTCAGCACAATCTGAACGAGTTAACTTACAATTACTTTACAGGTCGAGTGTGGCCGATAAATATATTCATCACGTGCCTTATCTAAGGACACATCATAGCCAAAAGGTGCACCGGAATTTTCTTATCAGACTCACGTGACGAATATATCTATCAGCCGCACTCGTATGACGACAAGGTTGTTTACGGTCATGGGGAACAGCATTTGGGTAAGCGATGAGGAACAAATACCATTATAGCTTGACCGTAATTAATAAAAAAGTCTGGTTTCATGGTGTAGTTGGTTATTATACCGGTCTAACACATTAGTGGTTCCCGGTTTGAGCCCGGGTGAAAGCATTTTTTACCCCTGTAATACTTGCAAGGATAGAGCAGGTCCCTGTGTTTGAACAGATATTGAGTCAGCCCACTGTGCTGAGAGGGACAAAGAGTCTCAAATTAATGCGTGAAACTTGCAAGAGCCTTTCATCACACCAAGGCCTTTAAAGAGTATGGAAGTACTATGAAAACTCAAAAACCTCAGGTAAGCAAAAGTAGAGATTAGCATATATATGCAGCCAGGAATATGTGCATGGCAAGAAGAGGCATATGATATTCCCTTTCATTGTAAGGAAAAGACTTGTATCTTCTACACATCTTCAGTACTAGTATACACAAAGCCTACAATACGATTATTATCATCAACACCATCATCTGACTCTGCTTCTTTGCAGTCTGATCTATATTAGCTCCAATTGCCAATATCAATCATATTGTCAGAAGGTCCTGTAATTAGTAAGTCACAGTCTTAGGAGCCATCACTGAGTAAGAATAAGCCCATATTATGAAAGGAGTGTGGAATAATTTACCTCCAAGCATTACTTCCTCCAAATGGCAACCAAACCTTTACTATACACCAGGTATCAGAAAGTGTCTTATAATGAACTGATGACTTCTTCAGTTGATTTCATTGCCATGTGATAATATCCACTTTGGTAACATTCTATAAAATATCAGTAAAAGGACGGTGGGCCTAGTTATCTAAAGGATGAACCAAGTTAGTACACACTAGTGGGATAATCAAGTGATGAATATTGTGTTACGGTTTCCCACTACTTGCTGTACTCGCCACAGGCAACGACCTCCTTCCTCTTCCAAACTGCGCTGCACTGTGTCCTAGAGCTGCTCTAGTTTCTTGGCCCTATCCTAGTATTCCCATGTAAGAATCAGTTTCCCACCAGGGTGGACAGTATTGGTCTTTATATTGCAAACTTGATGCACATAGCAGAGAGGTTTGGACGGTAATGGTTTTTGTATTGGAAAGAGCATAAAGTAGTAGATAGGAAATAATGGTAGATGGTTGCATAAAGAGCTAACCCATCTGCGAAAACCTGGCCTTTCTGTAGGCATCTTCTCACAACACTAATGCTGCTCTGATCCTCGAGCAAGGTCACATGCGAAATTATTGATAACCCCATATGACTCAAACAAGTCTTGTGCACAAAGCATGAAACATCCAATGACCTCTAAAGGAGGTCATGTCTGAAAACATAAATCAATAGCAATGTAAATCAAACCTACAAACAAACTACATGAGCTACTAAAGAGGTCATAGGCGAAACATAAACAAGTCTGCCTGCGGGTAAGCCTTACTGGCCAGTCTAGACTCTTTCCATGATGTCAACTATATGTCATGTGTGAAATGCAACAAACATTAGCGAGCCCCATGACCTGCTCAAGAGGTTGTATGCATAAAAACGATTTAAACATAAATGAGCACCATGAGCTGCTAATGGGATCATGTGTATAGAAACATAACTTAACCCCATGACCCCGAAGTGAGGTCATGTGCGAAACCTATTCCTCCAGTCCATTAACTTGCTAATCCTCCTCTAGCCAGATTGCGACATAATGTCGTAAACGGTGATATGACATACGGGGAGGGTTGCTGGAATTTTTGGATCAGCCCAGAACATAATAGAGGAAGGTTTAGGGAGGCTTGGTGGTATGACAGATTGGTTTGGCCCTGTTGGGTTGGGCCAGGCCTATTTTGTTTCTATATACAAAGGACGATTCCCTTTTCATGTTCAAATAGAGCAACTGAATACCTGTTTGGCAGCGGTAAGTGGCATTGATCTTCAATTTTAGATATAGTCCTAATACAGGTATCTCTCTGTAGAAATATCGCATGCAGATAGTTGTAATCATAATAATATTATTATCAATGTAATAGCCATGAACTTATAGAATAAGTTTTCTATAATATAATATTATTGACCAGACCTCTTCAATGTGAATGCCAATTTGAAAGAATCCAATAATGAGTTATCAAGCACATAATAATCACAACCATACTGCAATAATTTATCAACAAATGTAAATTGCCATCTGCACCTCAATTTCTATTAACTTCTCTCTTCCTAGAATGTATCTCCATGCTTCTGGTCGTACTGGTTACTAGTATAATGGAGAAATCCCTCGAGGACATACACATCACGTGATGGTGCTTATACGCATACCAATAATGACTTCCTCGGATCTTCAGGGCTAGATAACAGACTGTGGTCTGCTTGTATTCTTTCATCTGATAAGAATTAAAGCGCAATTTATTACATTTTTGTAGATAATTGGCCATAGGGTATCAAACAGGGAAGCCCAGGAGCAGCTGCAGCATAGCAGAAACACTATTTCACTGTGAGCAGATATTTTTTTTGATTATAAGCAGCCATTATTAGAGTTTATCTAATGATTAATCTGTCAACTAGCTATTTGTACTAGGTTTTGCAAGGTCTTCTACAGGTCTATGAAATATTTGTCTATGCTTCAGGAAGTGATATTCCAGCTCGGATTCAGAATAAGAATGGGAAAAGGTCATATTTCAGTGATATTGGAGGAGCCATCAATGGTACCTATACTCTAACTGATGTGCCAAGCCCCCTGAATACAGTATATTGCAACCGCAAAGTAACATTATCACCAAAGGTCATTGCTGGCTGTAGTCTGGATATGTGCTTCTTATGTTTCTCTCTAGGATGGGAGGGGGCAGCAAATGCTGTACCAGTGCTGGAAAATACTGTGCTGAATGGTTTTGCAAGGGAGGAGAATATGATCTATATTGCTGATACTGGTTATAGACTCTATAAAGGATACATAACATGCTATCGAGCGGTGCCATACCATCCTCAAGGACAGTCACATGTGCAGCAAAGGCCAAATACAATAGAGAAGCTTTTCAATCTGCAACATGCCGAGTTACCAAAGGTTATTGAGAGTGCATTTAGTGTATGACAATAGCGTCTTGAGATTCTCAATACTGCCCCAGAGCATGATTTGAATATTCAACCACAGCTTATTCTTCTGGTATGTGCTTTACAGAACTTTATTCGCTATCAGACCTATGAAGAGGATGATGGATTTTATAGAGGGTTTGATTCCTCATATGGGGGTAGTTATAAGGATAGTAGCGAAGGGATACCACAGGAGAGTGAAGAGAGTGATAGCACTAAACATAAAATGCATAAAAGAGAAATGATTATGGATAGAGATCGAAGAGCTACAAAAATTTGACTTGCTCAGGTCAATTATTGAAATCGAGATATTTAAAGCTCTCTACTACTATACGATTTATATGAAATGGTTGGCAATTTGTGTTTATAACCACCTTCCTCATCTGGCCCACCATCCGATACAAGAAATACATCTGCCTTAACAGTACTTCCTAAAAGCTCAAGGCGTGCAAGAAGATAGTTGGTGGACTGCTGCACCCATCCTTTATAGTTTTGCCAAAGTTTGGTAACAGTGTGATGAATTGTGTAGGTGACTTTTAGGAGTGCAATAGATTTACTAAGCCATTGCTGGGAAGCATTGATGAGATGCATAGCAGGATTGTCTTGACATATTCACATACAGCCTAATATGCTATTTGGACTATCCTTTGATAGTTTTCTTCTGTTAGATACATTGTTGGTAGATCAGTCTTCATCTTCATCAGAAGTGATGATGGATTTTTGTAAAGAAAGAGATTGAATGGAGGGAGCGAGTGGTATGCCAAGTTGGGAATCGATTGCATGCTGACTGGTTGCTGGAGTACATTTAAATGCTTCTGTTATTTCATGCACATTCCCTATCGGGCGATCACGGAATTCACGTATTCCGGGTTGGTTTGTGATTTCCATTTCCTTTACCTCATCAGGTGTACTAACAATACCAGTAACAGGATCATGTCCGAAGCCACTTAATCCCTTTGGGGAAGTCCAGATCTTACAGTTTCTACTGAGTGTTTCTAACTTTGTTCGACATTTGTCCCCAGGGAGTGCGATATCTGCAGCCAAAATAGTCTGCACTCTTGGTGCAATAGTATTCCAAACTTCTATTTTAACGCTATTGTCCGACCTTTGCTGTGCTCTGATTCCATGGACCAACTATCATAATAGAACGGCCACCATCTCTGGTGACCACTCTACTTGTCGGCCATGAGGTGTGTATGTTTCCATCCCCTGATTGCCGACCGAAGAGGGCACAACACAGTCATCTTCCATGATACTGGGATTTTCCTGACAGACATTACGAATAACTTTCGCATCTGAGGAAGGCTGGAGACTTTCAATAAAGAGAAAGCTATTATTTTAACTTTGTTGCTGACTGAGAGATGCAACATCAGAGTTAAAAGGAAACTCAAAATAGGAATTAATACCCCAATAGGTCGCACTAAAGTCTCTTCCATAATGTTATTATTGCCTATTGCGACCACCTTGGAGCCAAGACAGTAGAGCAGGAGGTGGCAGAATGGGCTGAGATGCAACCAGCTAGGAGACAAAAGCAAAGAGGTGGCTGGGAGTAACAGGAACCAGAAGCTACAAGTGGAGAACTAGAGGCTTGAAGTGGGAGTGTAAGGTAGAGAAGCAAGTAGGAGCCGTTGTACTAGTGGAAGTAGTAGTAGTAGCAGGAGGAGCTAAGACCTGATAGCTGGAGCTGGAAACTCGAGTGGTCACGAGGGTACAGGCACAACAAAGAGCTAGAACTAGAGCTAAAATCAGAAATTGTAGAAATGAAAAGTCAGAATTACAGTTACTCAATTGACTCTAGTACACCAAACCCACCGAACAAAACTATAGTACCCTGATTTCCAATTTTCAAATCCCTTTCAACTTCAGCCTATAGGAGTGGGAGTGGGCAAACCCAACTTTCAATTTCCAATTGGTTCAAGTGAGGAGAGGGTAGGAGTAGGGGTCGATGTAGGAGCCCAGAGCTGGGGTTGGAAGTTCGCAGGGGGAAGCCAGAAGGTGGGGCTGGAGCCTGGAGACAACTAGGAACTGAAGCTGAGGGGGAACCAAGAACTGAAGCCAGTGGGGAACCACAAG